TATATATGTTTAACATACTTATCAGACTTGTACTTTGATTATAGCTTTGATCAGGACTAAAGATGACTATGAGCAAAACCACATATAGACTTTATCATAGCACTTTTAAAAGTGATGCAGAAAATCATAGCACTTTTTAAAAGTGCTATGATTTTTATTTTATTTTTTCTACAGCCTTTTATTTTATTTTCTTTACTTTTAAAATAAAAGGCTGGATGTTAAGACCTTTTATCCTGCCTCAGATGTGATGAGAGGTAAGCCCCCCAGGACAACAATCTCTCTCTGTCCCACCCCAAAAACAACTACAATACATCTGCAGATGTGATGCACATTCAAATATGATGATTAGGGAACCTACACGTTAGTGCCCTCTTTGTTTTCTTTATTTTTTGTAAATATTTTACACATGCCATCATATGCATACTTCACCCCACTGCGGATTGCTTCATTGACCTGACATGTCTTTTCCTTCAGCTTCTGAAACTTCTCTGTGTCTCCATTTTCTTTCATCTTCTCAGTCAGGTAGTCCAAGTGGACATAAGTGGACACTGAATCAACTTTCAAACTAATTTTACTGAGTGTTTCAATATGTTGGACAACCATGTCAATCCACTTTTCCTTGTCTGCTTCAAGATTATCAATTTCTTTTTGGAGATCATCCAAAATCGCAGATGCCTTCAAAGATGCTGCTTTGTTCTTGTCATACTTCTCCTTTACACCTGTCAGGGTTTTCTTAACTTTCTTTATCTTGTTCACATATCTCCATTTTTCTTTTACATGAGCTGATGCGAGACACTTCCTGCTACAAACAGTGCAGCGTCCTCCTTTCATGACCTCACAGTGTGCTGGTTTCCAGGCCACTGTGCATCCAGGATAGTGACAGGTCTCCTCACACAATGGGCAGCAGACAGCTGCTTCATAAAAAAACAGTCCCCACATCCCAGTAGAAATCGACTCTTTGTGTTTGTATGGCTCATTAACTTCTATTTCAAACTCTGCATTCAGCTTCATTTGTTGTTCATGCTTCTTCATAGCTTGCTGAATCTCTTTGATTTCTCTCCCTTTCAGCACGATCATCTCAATGCGGTCTTGCAGGTTTTGGATGCAGGCTGTCAGTCTGATATGTTCCTTTATAACTTCCACAGTTTTCTCCAGTTTTTGAGGAGCAGTATTTTTCAGAAAATCTGTTAACTTTGCAATTCCATGTGCTGATATTATATCTGGAACATCAGGGTATCCTTGCTGATTCCGGACTTCATGCTGGTAGTTATCAAACAGGAAGTGAACAGGCTCATTATTCTCATTTTGTGCACATTCAATGTTTGCAGCTTGAAGAGCTTGAAAAACATTTTCAGGTCTTCTTCCATTTGAGTATGTGATGAGGAGAACAATGTGTTTCGCTATGTCATTTCCAAACAGAGACATTATTGAATTGAAGATGTACACGAGGCGGTCACTCACTCGGCATTCAGTTGCCTTCACTACCAAACCCACTGCATCAATTTCATGAACTCCATCCTGCGATCGAAACAAGT